ACAAATTTTCATTCAACAAACAACTAACAAACTCATACCAATATCTCATATCACATTCATAGATCAATTAAATTACATTCATGCTGACGGTATATAACTAAAATAACCAGATAAGTTGATAAGACTATTGAACTATAAATTAAGAACATGTACTATACGAAAATCAAGCAAGTAGGACAATATAGGAAAATGAACAGAAAATCAAGACAATTATGAGCTAACCGGTTCCGGCTCCATTAGTAACCTCTAATTATTTTTAGGATTTTTATTTTTTTACAAAAATACAAAATTATGCATCGTTAAGTCTTAATTTACCATAAGGAAGAATAGGGTGAGGGATCTTACCCAGATCGGTGTTTTAAGATATTGAGTTGTCTACTACGCCTCCTAACGGGTATCGAGTTCCCTGCATTTTTTTATGGAATTCAAAACACTCTTCACATACCTAAAAATATCCCAAAAATCCAAAATCGGTGTTTAAAACTCATTATGGCCAATTTTGGGGTTCCAGCACAGCACCGCCGCCGTGCTCCAACACCGGCTCTACCGTCTACGGTGGTGATTTATCTTGGCCTGGCCAGTTTTGGCCGGTTCTGATTGATTTTGGTCAGTTTTGGTTGTATTCCTACAGAAAAACACGTTAAAGGCCTTGGTTGGCCGAAAAATCACAAAAAAATCGAACCTACTAGCGAGGGGACCTCCAGGTGCAATGGCTCCGTCAGTCCTCATTCACGGCTGAGGTTCTTTCTTCGACTACCCTGCACAGAAAAGGACGGTGAACATAATGATAAAAAAATCACGTGAAACAAAAATCGGAAAGGGGCTCATCTAAGGAATTTTGGGGTTTTAGCTGTGGTGGCTCTGCGGAGCTTTACCCGCAATTTTTGGTTCACCTATTGTCCCTCTTCCTCCGATTTGATCACAGGAGTACTCAAAATCAAATTTCGAGCGGGTTGGGGGAATGTTTACCTTTTTTGGCAGTCAGCGGTGGCTCCGGTGCGGTAGCAGTTGGCCTCCTTCTCTGACATTTGGTTCTTCTTCTCCGGCAGGGGCTGATGGCTAAGGTTTAGGTTCTCGTGGGATGCGAAGTATTTATAACTATCACGCGTTGATCTATGTCATCCATCGCGATCGATCTCGTTCGCCTAATCGCGCCTGAGGAAGAAACGAATTTGAACCATTCATTGTGATTAATCTCGATCGACCGATCGCACCTAAGGGAGAAACAGATCTAGGCCGTCCATGTGCGTGGGATCAATCTTGGATCGTCTGATCGCGGGGCACACAGATCATTCGCGTGGCCTCTCACGTGGCACCGACGTCTGCGCGCCTTGCCACGCGACGCACTCCGATTCGTCAAGGCTACTGACTGAGCAGTCTTACGTGGCCGAACTTTCTCTATTTGTAATTTGACCCCATATTTCTAATTTTTCTTTTAAAACTTAATTTTCACCCATTTTTTCAATTAT